ACAAATGTACTTCTTCAGCATTACTTTTTTAATAATTCAATAATTAATTTAGTGAATAATTAATTATTGGAATACTGTATATAAAAATTAAAAAATAATCTCCATGCCTAAAATTTTTTGAACTTTATCATTCTCACAAGTAAAACAAAAATTTAGCATTTCAAATTAAGCAACAAAAAAACAATAGTTCTTTTAAGATCAGTTACTATTACGTAAAATTACTTTCTAAGCTATCATTCTATCAGTCTTCTAACTAATAAATCCAATCAATCAATTAATAATTTGATAATTTATTTGCAACTAGACTTTCGTATTATATGATTACTTGGCAATTACTACTGTTGCAAGAGAAATATCAGTAATTGATAAAAAGCAATAACAGTAAACTAATTCAACAAGCATTATTTGCTTTTGAATATTCATTACTTGTTAACAAGGAAATGGCGTTGGAAAAGGATAAAAATGATGGAATTTTGATCTAGTAACATCCATTTTTACTTCACAAACTTCCTTCACATTTGCAGTAAATAAAATTTTTTGATTTTCAAAGCTACTTTTTCAGTAAATACTTGGAAATTATTAAAAACTTACTTATATTCGAATTTTTCGCTTTAACGAAAATTGTCTCAATTTTTATCTCTTTTATTTTAACAATTTTTATGATTTATAATATCCTCTAACTTATTCAGTTATTTTATAAGCGAAGCTTAAATGGTAATTGATTGCCTCAAGCAATCATATCAGATATATGTATAAAATTTAACTTAAAATATACTTTCATACATTTTTCCAACAATTTGCAGTATTTTCATTTGCTCTCACAATTGCCATTTTGAGTGATTTCTGTAACTTGCAAGGCTTAAATGAAGTTAAAAAGAATACATTAATCTTAGCTTTGCTTTTATCCTTTATTCAAATCATAACTCAGTTAATAATAGAAAAAATTGATTTATTAGATCACAAATTGATCACAACTCAATTTTTGATCTAATAAATTTGAACAAAAAACTTTCATTGAATGTATTGTTTTATCTTTTGTTTCTTTCTTATTGGAAATGAGAAAGTTGTTCAGCGACTTATAAAAATAATTAATCGAAGTATGAGCAGAATATGAGTTAAAAATACTTCATCGTTTAATCATACATAACTCTAATCTATGACTAAAAAGCATACTAATTGAGAGTCTGAAAGCAGATAAAAAATAGTGAGCTTTACTTTTTGACATTTACATAAAATAAAAATAAAATTTTTAAAGCATATCACATGTAAGTCAATCAGTTTTCGTCAAGTTCAAAGTTCAGTAATTATTTTACTAGAATATTTTGTTGGAAAAAACATTTTCAGTACTGCAAAAAATGCAAAATAAAAGACTTTTATTTTATTATTTATGCAAACTTTTCAATGAAACTATCTTAATTTGAACTGTCTTTCAAGATATTAACAAACTTTATTGTTTCAGAAATATTTCCATTAATACTCATTTGTGAAAAAATTATTATACTAAATTTGTTTCACATCTTTGACTCATGAAAACTTGTTGGTCTACAAAATATAATCCAGGCGAAACGCTGCGTGATCTCCACCGTACAGACTGGTTAAAGTTTTGAAAACAGTTAGTCCATGCATTCCATGATAAGCTTGAGATTTTCATTACACCATATCTGGAGCTATACCTGGACATTTCCTAAATAATTAATATCTCATTCAACTCTATAATTTGTCATAAAACCTTAAAAAGTAAATCCTAAAATAATAAATATTAAAATGACTTATTCAATATTTGCGAAATAATATGACTAACTAATAAATCATTTCGTTCATTCTTTAGATGACGAATTCTTCGTTCAAAACCTATTAAATCGTATGCAATTAATAAAACCAACCATCCTGGAAAGATTTATAGAACGGCACTTTCTATAAAGGTCTTAAATATTTCTGCAAATCTTCATGGAAAAAAAATATTCTTGTCAAGTTTAAGAAACCAAATTATTTTTAAATTACGAATACGCTCAAAATTTTGTATCTTAAATTAATCCAAAGATTTAAGCTTAGTATATGCAAATTTTTACAATTTGTATGTATAATCTCACAAAAATTTGACTTAAGCAAATTCTTCAAAAAGTAAAAAGTGTAATTTGTTCAATTAATTACCAAGCATAGCGATGATAAAAATGATAAATGTCATCGAAAAGACAGCGAATATCAAGCAAAATGATATCTTAGCGTAAAGTCTAATTCGTCGCTTCATTTTCAATTTCAATATTTCTGGGTCATACTTTGTCAGATTTGGTAACTAAACTAGACAAATAATAAAATAATTTCTATTTTATGATATACTGCTTACTCTTACACAAGTTTAAACATATTACACCGAAGACTAGCAAAGTTTCGTTATTTCATATGTAATGTTTGGTTTGTTAATTAGAATGAGACATTCTTCTCAATATGCTTTTAACATTTAAAAATTCTGCAGTTATTTGGATTCCAATTTTTTAAATTTCAATTCAATATTTTAAATGGATAAAACTTAAAGTTTGCTTTTTTAATTTTAATCACTTAACTTGATGAGATATGCTGAAAAATATGGAAAATCTAAAGACTTTAACTAAATTCTGTAATTTACTAAAACATTAACTTACTAGCTTGTAATATTCAGTTTTAATTAAACTTGTAAAAATAGTGAACTATTAAATTCTTTTAATTCCATAAATAATAACAAACATTAGTATTTTGTGTATAATCTTCAACAATGATTCCCGAACTTTTTGGCAATGCTAATTTTGGATGTATTGGTTGTTCTGCTGTTACCAGCTCAGATAATGCTGGATCAGATTGTGTGCAATCAAGTGCAAGGCTATGATCTATTTGATTTACATCTAAAATTCGATATGGATTATTTTTAAACACACTTAAACTAACTTTTTATAATTTAAATACTATGCAGTAAGCAAAGTGTGTAATTGACTTTAACAATTTACAATGTATGCGTTAGTTACACTACGATGATTCCTCTCATAGCAATATTGAATTAAATTTAAATAAAAACTTCAATTTGGATTTCATGATTAATAAATGGTAAGAGCTTCTATGAGTTTTATTTCAAGATAAACTACCAGTTCTTGAAGTTTTTCTAATACTCTTACTTGATTTGGCGATTAATTTTTCAGCTTTCTTTTCTTGCTCATTCACTGTTGCATCATTTTCGATTAATGATTCCTGTAGACGTTCTAATGGTTTTGGTACTTGCTTATTCTAAAAATTATCATTCATTTTACTAAAATTTAATTGAAGCAATTAAATCTTCATGAAAATTTTAATTCTTGCATTGAACAAATCAGATATTTGCGAAAGCTAACACAAACAATTATTATTTTATCATATTCAATAAATATTTCCAGACTTATTTATTCATTTTAAGCAATAATCTTGATAAATTTGTGCAAAATTTCAAGTATTTTTGTGCAAAAATTTCAATTTTGAATATGAATACGAAATAATATTAAAAAATAGCCAATACTTTTTTCATCCGAAGTGACTGACTAATTAGATAGCGAATTTTCCTCAAACTTTCTATAGATTGCTTTCTTGCTGAGAAAAGCTTTTGGTCTTGTTTATCTTTGGGTTGCGCATCTCTACTTCTAAACTTGAGATGACGAATTAGTTGCATGTCAACAAAATTTACAAATTCAGTATTTGAATTTTGAAAAAAGTAACAAAAATCTATGTCTAATATTAAAAAAATTGCAATTCTATGCATAATTCATATCTCAAAATATTTACGTTGTTGCGAGTTTCGAATTAAAAGCATTTGAAGTTCTTTCAATATTATCGTTTTCTAGAATAAAATGATTATTCGTACTATTTAATATAATAATTCTTCAAATAAATTAAGTACAAAAACTGAAGCATGTGTTAATTAAAACAAATCCACTAAATCAGATTACGTTGCTAAATCTGTTTGTATAATAATTCTAAATATAGCAACGTGAAAAGCCACGCACTGGTGAATTCATAATGACTTTCACTCATAGCGGCACCGCCTTACTTCAGCAATAAATACACAAAATATTCATTTTCAGTACATTAATAATAACTTTTCAATTACGCAGATTTATGCTTTTTTTGAATATTACAAAAGCATCAAATTCAAAATAATTTTAGTTTTCAAAATATGAAAATTAAGATTGTTCATATGAATCACGTCAAACTCTTCACGTAATAACTGCATATATGATAGTCAACTATGATTCACACTTGACACACATATAAGATCATATATTTGATCATTTGAATCACATATATTTGATTATAATATCATATATTATAATATCATATATTTGATCACATATATTTGATCATTTGAAATTATGCTAGTCTTTAAAAATTCGATTTCAAGCAACAAATTGAAACCAAACTCATCATAGTTTCACAGCGGTTTTGTGCTCAGATTGGTTCAATGAGTATTCGCGATATCAGTTTGATTTTATTTTTACAGTCATTTATGGTTCATAAGTATAGTAACAAGAAGTATTGTCTCTTCTATTGCAAACGGTAGAAACATCTAACAAACAGCATCAGAATAATTGAAAAATTGAGAAAAAACGTAATGATATTATAAGACATTTTGACCTGTAAACATTTTGTGAGAAATGTTTCTGAATGTTTCTGATCTTTTCTGATCTACTTTGTGAAAAGTAAGAAGTAATGAATTAGAGCAGAAGTAGTAAAAGTATAGAACAGAATTAAATGAATGTTTTATTCACTTGCATCGATAATTGGTGGCATACAGTGTAGATTTTTGTTTTTGTTTTTTGAGAATGAATACAGCAGATGCTCAGGATATTCTTGGCTTTAGTAACAGTAACACGACAAAGGACGAAGGATTAATTCCTGCAGGTGGCTTAACTGACGTAAATCCAAAGGTTCCTTTCTTTACATGCTTAATTCTGTTGACTTTTTCATTGTCGTACTGTTTAGACTTTTTATGATTCCGTGTAAAACTTGGGAAATTATTGTTAAAAATAAGTAATTAATGTAAGATTATATATGTACATATACATTTAAGCAAGTTATTATGTTTACTATTTCAACAATTGGTTGCTTTTAATAAATATGTTGAGAACAGTTGAAAACTTAAGTTCTTATTATTAATGTATGGGTGACTGGTATTAGTTGTTTTGAAAACGAAAGTAAATATTGCTTTCTCAAACCATTCCTAATAGCAGTTTCTTCAGTAAGTAGTAGAAGCACTCAAGTGTTTTCAAATTTAGACAGTTATAAAGGTTCATACTAGTTTTGAGGCTAACATTTCACTTCAGAAGCAAAAATGATTGTAAATTATAGAGCAGAAAATCACATCGTAGCGATGCACATTTCAAGCGTCCAGAAGGAATGCATCGTGAATTGTACAATCTGTTGGGTCAGGAACGAAACTTTGCTGCCCTTATGCCGACAACTACTAAAAATAGTGGTTACTGCCGTCAAAAAGCACGAGTAATGAATGGTTATTAATATTTGGGAAAATTTTTCTGGTCTCAGCAAATCAAAAATGATGTAGTTATGCAAATTTTTGTACCTCAATACGTACAAAAATTAAATTCAAAGATTGGTATGCGTCGCGTTCGACCATGGGAATGGACTCCATTTGAAAATGAGGGGCGTACCGATGGTTTAAAATTATGTCACTGGAAACGAAAGGATAAAACATTTGCTGTTTATCCCTTCGCCAAGTTCAACAAGGTATACTTATTATATATTTATATATTCCTCTGTTGGTCAATGTTCAGATTTGAAATCTATGTCAATTAAATTCAATTCAAAGCCAGCCTTTTTGTACTAAAATATTTATTAAATTTTGTTTCCGTATTACTGCTGCATATTTCAGATAAGACGAAAAAAATTTCCGATTATATAAAATAGTTTTTCTCATCTCTCACCTTTGATATGTGATAAGTTAATTTTCTATAAAAGCATGTTAAATTACTTTCTATCTGAGTGTCTTGATGCAGGTCATAAATATACCTACATTCACGGAAGAAGAATACGATAAATGTTTGAATTCTACAAAATGGAGCAAGGAAGATACTTATCACTTATTTGAACTCTGTCGACGCTTCGATTTGAGGTCAAAAGTATATAATTTTATATGAAGATTAAGAGGTTGAATCTTAGTGGAAATTGTTGGTTGACGAAATTTTTCAGATGGGTTATTATTGTTGACAGATGGGAAGGTTCAACTCGTCGTACGATGGAAGAGATGAAGGAAAGATTTTATAATGCTGTGAATGAACTGAACGCATTGAGAAATGAAAATACCGAAATGCTTTATTATGATGCTGAACATGAGAAGAGACGGAAAGAGCAGCTAATTAAACAATGGAATCGGACAGAAAAACAAGTAATTGTTTTGAATTCTTGAAATTAAGTTTTCATGAAAAGATTGAAGTCAATAATTTTTTTTTCTTTTGGATAGATCGAAGAAGAAGAAATGCTGGTTGCAGAATTGAAGAAAATTGAAGTGCGTAAGAGAGAACGGGAAAGAAAAGCTCAGGATCTTCAGAAGTTGATCACTGCAGGTGAAAGAATGCCTACATCGCCATCCATTTCGTAAGTTTCTAAGCTTTGAAAAAATGTTTGAAAATCTGTTGCATTAGATTTTTAAACTAAAATCAATAAAAATGAAATAATCATAAGATTTTGTGGACTTCAAAGTGTTTGGTCAAATTCAACTTTTTGGTTTTCTGTAACGTGTATGATTTCTAAAGTTATATGTTGCATTTATTTCAGTTTTTTTTCCAGCATTTGACTCGTTTATCTCATCTTGCAACTTCTTATTTTCATGATTTTCAAATCTATTTACAGTTTTATCTAATACATATCTGCATTTATATATTTCATTGATATCTGCCTTTATGTGCGAATGTCATTTTTTTATATTCGCGCTTAAAGAAGTTCTAACTATTTAATAAGGTAGAGCGTGATAATTAAGTAATAATTACTTGCTTTTTTCAGCAGTGCAGTTGTCCCTCCCAGTTTCAGCATGAAAAAATCTCAAAAGTCACGAATACAGAAAAGTTCATCGGTATCAAGTACTTCAGTCAGCGCATCATATATACAGGTAAGATAATCGGTGGATCTAAATTTATCTTTTTCGGATTTCTGCCCTAAGAATAAAGACAAACTCTTCGAAAAAAACTGAAATCTATTCAATGTAGGATCATTCGAATTTACGGTTTCCTGAATTCCGAAGTGCTGGCACGCATTTAAGAAGCCAAGAAATGAAGTTACCTACCAATATAGGACAGAAAAAGTTGAAGAATATTGAAACTGTAATCGAAAAGCTTAAACTTGGTTATTTGTTTATTATTTTTCTAAAATGACTTATACTATTTCGATTTTCGTATTACTTATTTATTTTTCGTTACTTTATTACAAACCAAAAGACAATTTTTATTTGTAGTATTTTCGGATCTTTAAATCATTGTAAACTATCAAAGCTAGTAAGAATTAAAATTTTCTGATTATTTTGAAACAATGTTACATTAGCTTCTTTCTGTTTGCCTAGAATTTAAGTTTTTTATTTCTTTTGGGCGAATTGTTGTTAAGATTTGATACCATTCGGGACTTCTGAAATCGTGAAGGGTTATAATGAATTTCGGACTCGTATTGTGCTTTTGCAAGAGTTGAAACATTCATTGCACTCTGCTGAATTTGAATTGGAATCTCTGAGAACGCGTTATAGCACGCTGACTGGGAAAGTCAGTCATTTTTTGTTTTAATTAATTTTATGAAAATTTTCGATTTAAAAATAAAAATGTTTTTGGTTTCTTTTTTTTTAAAAAAAAGAAGTTTACTGAGAGCATTAATTTTACAGTTCATGTGCCATATTACTTGTTTTTTTTTCAAAATTTATTGCTTACGACGAAACTTTGATAAAGATGGGAAAATATTATTGTAAAGATTTCTTTGTATATAAATGTATTTAAGTAAATCATTGTTAAACTTCTATTTTATTAATTTCAGACTTTTGACATTGAGCCTAGAATGCGAGTAAGAACAGGTAGTGAATCAAGTACCACAGACCCCTCTTCTGCTTCAGTTGAGGGAGCACCAACTTCAAATAGAGTCATCACGGATATGATCGAACTTACTACTTCGCTACCCCAGACGGTATCATTTCTTTAGCTTGCATAAAAAAATAATTTTAATTCCGTTACTTTCAAAATATGTTTTTCAAAGTTGTTGAGCTGAAAGGATGTTCTTTTTTGTTGTTTAAAGTTATGAAGCATCACGATTTTTTCTAAAAATCATTGTCTTTGTAGATGAGGAAACGTAAGGCACCGTCTTCATCAACTTCTCCATCACCAATTGATAGTCGAAGATTTCGAAAATCTTAGAATTTTTCGGTTTTGAAAATTGTTGAACATAAATGCACATGGCTTCAGTAAATGTCAGTTCAAATATCATTTTATTAGAAATAAAGCAGCATTAATTTTTTGTTATGTAACTTATTTTGACAAACTCTTGAAGAATTTTTAATTTTTTGTTTGATTTATGCTCATTGTAATCTGCAACACTTGTCGTTCTGTATTTTATACTTCAATTTTATGTAAATAATTTTATCCAAACTTTTCATACTTGTGGAGAAGGATTAACATGTATAAAGAAAACTTGAATGAATGTCTACAATTAAAGTCTTGTTTCAAGTGGGGAAAATGTGTAGTTATTTGTAAAATTATAATTCAAAATTGAGAAATGTGTGTTCAATATTTTAGAGGAAGGAAGGTTATGAAAAGTTCTAAAATTTTGGGCTTTATAATATTTGTTTATTTTCATTCGGACGGGCTTATTCAAATTTTAAGCAGTATTTGTCTGTAAAAGTTTCGGGATTTCCGGGAAATATGTTTATTGTCTGAGAGAAGGTGAGAATTTGTGCATCTGTGAGCGGTTTAAGCATCAAATTGTGTATCAATTTATCTTTGCACAACGATTTTAGTGGCAACTGTTTTGTTTCAGGTAGGGAATTATTCTTGTCAGTTTTAGAATTCAGCAAACTGATTCTCTTCACCTATACTTTTTGCAGCTAACTAGAAATAATACTGTAGCCATTGCGTTTTTTTTAATTTGAGTTATTTACTACTATTTTCAATCTAATTTTAGAAAAATGATGGAAACTAGTACAGCTACACTTTCATTTCTTTTTATTTCTGATTGCTCAGTACAAGTCAATGTTTAATTCGGGACAAATAAAGTTATAAGCTATGAATTGAAGATTTCAAACTTAACTTGAGGATTTCTGTTTCCAAATTGATAATCTGTAATAATCTTTAATCAGTGTTCCATGTTGTAACAAGTTGGCTCTAATTATGGTGCTATTATTAATAGAAGCAAAATTGTAAGTTAAAAAACGGAACAGAGGATAATTACTAATTGTTATACTTTATCATTGATGAATGTAATGGTTGTATTGTAATCAAGCAATTTTATGGCAGAATCACGACTGATTCATAGATTGATTAGTGTAAATGAACTAAAAGTATAGTAACATCAACCTGTATCGTAAATAGTAATGTTTACAACAGCAAATGAAACAAACTGTTGGTTCTTACTTTCATATTAATTGTTTACATTAGTTTTGTTTTCATCGAATAATTGACTGTTCTTATCAGTCGCTCAGTGCTTATGATTTTCCGTCATTTTGCACTCTTTTTGTCTAATTTTATTTAAAGGAAAATTAAGCAAATATTAATTTAACGTAATCAGAATCTAAAAGCTTTCATTCTGATAATCTTTTAAAAATTTGCATAACTATTTATAAAGATTTTTATGGCTGCGAGTTTTTGCATAATATTTTTTGTAAAAAAATCACATCGATATAAAATGGAATTGTTGTATAGAAATCATTTTTGCATGGAATTGTTGAATAGAATCTATTTTCTTCCATCTATAATGTAATTTTCATGTTTTTGCAGTAATTATTTGTATTTATTTTATTTTATTTATCTTTGAATGTATGTTTTTTCTATCTGTCAGTAAAGTTTGCACAAAATATGGAACAAAAGCCAATGATTATTTTTATTTATTTTTGTTAATATTTTTTAGAGGTATTTATCGGAAAGCGAAAGTTAGAAATAAATTGAAGATGACTAAAATTTTATAGAAAAAAGAAGCAAACCTGTTTCTGTCTGGCCCATTCC